GACGTACGAGTTTTACTTACATGCACGCTGTCGAACCCAGCAACAGTTACCTGTGGTTACGGGGAGCGATGCGAATGCAATTCTGCCAAGAAACATTGATGGTACCAGTAGCGATCCTCTTGTCCTTCCAGCATGCAGCCATACGCATAAACATCAACGAAATAATTTATCATGGGTGGCACAATTTGATGTTCGAGTTTTGAAGTTTTTCTGGGCGAATTCGGCCCCGGAAGGTCCTTGGGCATGCGGTATTTGACGGAGGCTGGAAGCACGATCGCACATCGACTACATATGTGTGTTTCCTGAGCTAGATGACAACGCCTACGCTTTGCATGACAGTAGGTTGGGAGACTTGTACAGGATATTCCGCTTCGACCACCAGACTGTGGTGGCTCACTTGCGGCACCCGAGGGCTATGTTCATACAGCCCTGGCGTCCTCCTACAAGTCTCAAGGGATGGATCCGATGCGCCGCCCTCGACAAAGAGACGTTCCAAAGGAGGGCGTTGTTGCGCAAGCAAGACCTCGCATCCATAGAGGTTGGCTTGCGGCGCGTTGCCTCAGACATTCCCACGCTTGTGGCACCAGAAAGTCCTCTTCAGAGGAGCCTGCGGTACCCGGCAGCTTCCAAGTTCTTCGGGGACGCCTCCGCGCACTACCACGCGGGAGGGAAGCCCGACACATCAAGAGACGCATGCGTTCAATGCGGCGGACCACGCGACGGGAACGCGCATGACAACTCAAGACACTGAAGTTGTCCAAGCCGACGGCGTTTTTTTTTTTTTTTTTTTTTTTTTTTTTTTTTTTTTTTTTTCAACCAGTTGTTTTCGACCTGCCCTCTGGAACTTCCACAGACCACCAGGAGTGGATGCACGAGTTACACAAGCTTGGCATTGAAAGGTTTCGCGACCCTTCCAACCCGACCGACTTGCAGATGGCCGGCTTATGATTTTCGCTTCCCAGGCGTAGTCTGACCAGATAGACGGCCGTGGGCGTGCCCACCCAGAGCTCGACACATTCGATGTTTTACAAGGTCGCGCTTTTTGGTGTGGGGGCAGACAGTATAGCAGTGGAGGCATTTAAAGCCTTACCGTGGAAGAGCGCTTTACATGTATACGACCTTCCTTCTCCGAAGGAGATTCCTTTTCGAGCCAGCGGGCGAGTCGCCATTCGAGAGGAAAGTGCAATGTCTTGGCATGCCGAAGGTCAACGACGCCCGGGCATTCAAGGATTTGCGGTGGATTTGCAAATCCGCCACTCTCCAGAGCGGGTTCGATCGTGCATTCCGGCCACAACTACAACGGCAGATGCGACCTTCCAACGTGCAGTCTCATGGGTTCAAGCCGTTCTGCCGCACCACCCACATCGCAGCGCCAGTTCGTCAGCTTCTGCATGTGACGCGCAACTGTAGGCGAGACATTTTGATCGGTTGTCAAGATGTGGAGATCGCCCATCGACTCTTTGCAACATGCGCACATCGCTGCTTCTTTCCGTGCTCGGGGAGTGAGTGCCTCGTTGACTGCGGCGCGTTTGCGCAATCGGGCGAGACTCTAAGCGACCGTCGAGCTCCCAGGCGTCGGAACCACAGACTTTTTCGACGACAGCAAGGGCGGCAAGCAGGGCGGCGAAGAGACACCAGACGAGTGGACCGCTACCCTTACTTGCTTGATGGAACCCATGTCTTCGCGCTGGACTCGACGGGGCCTTGGTTTCGATCTGGGCGGCGCCAGTGGCGCCCAGTGCGTTCATCGTGCTGCTTGGTGCGACAACAGCGTTTTGTGTGCTACCTATCAAAGTGCGATGAACACGATGATCCAGGGAATTTTGGATCGCCCCAAGCAGCGCGACTTGTTCTGTAAGCCGCCACCATTGGAAATGATTGTTGGCGGGCCTCTCGCAAGTGGATTTCATCGTGACTTCTCCGTGGAGCCGCGCGGCGAGGAGATGCTTTGCTACGTCGCGTCGAATGCGGCCCTCTAGGGCGAGTTCTTCGACAGAGTTGGGGGCGCGCAGGGCAGCGTGCAGCGTCGGCGCGCAATGGCCGACCAGATCCTCTACAAACGCAAGCTTTTCCTCCGCGTTCCAGGCCCTGTTCCTCCGAAACTACGCGCCCGGGCACTCTAGGGGGCGACGTCTGGTTTGCATGGGCCAAGACCGTGGCACATTGCATCAGAAATTTTCATCGGGTGGCAGCGCTGGGAGATCAATCGGCCGCGACAGTTGCTTCCTATTCGCCGCGGCCCTGGGGGGGGGGGCGCCTGCGCGCGCAACCGGCGCTCGGCGAGGATGTTGGGTGAATGGATCTCACGCGCAGGCGAGTAATGTGCAACCCGCCGGGTCTTGCGCTCCATTTGCACATCCGCGCGGAACGAGAGGCTCACGGGCCTCGATTTCGAGATGAACCGTTTGAGAGCGCCCCGGGAAGATCGCAGCCAGATTAGGTGGGAATCATTTCGGTCGATGGGTTCTTGCCGGGAGCGCAAGGTCGAAGGGCTCCTTCATGCGCGCAGCGGCCATTGAGCCGCTTGCGAAGGTCCATTGCGCGAAATCTTGGGCGTCGATTGGCGAAGCCAGAGAGACGAATTCCGGACCGCGGCATCGTGGCTCTAACGGGCGCCTGACTTCATCTGGCGGGCCTGCTCTCATTGTGTGCAAGTGCACCTCCAGTTCAGAATCCAGAGCCCGCGTATACCTGGCCCCCCCGCGTTCCTGCTGGACCTCGCCCTCGAGTTCGACCGCGCCTGCCTCCCCGCTCCATGGATCTCGCATGGGACTCAATGGGCAGTCGTCGTTGCGAACACCAGAGTTGGAGCTGGCGTCCAGGAGGATCTGCGCCAAGTCGTCTAAGCTGGAGCGGGCCAGATGGAGCCCGAGACGCGACGTTGATTCCTTCGTGAATGGGACTTCCACGGACATGAACACAGTGCCCGACTACCTCTTGAACGCAGCGATGGACACACGTCAAGATCTCCAATGGGAGAGCCAAGATGCATGTCAGAAGCGTGTTTCCAGCGGGGCTATCAAGATCTGCGTGGATGGAGGACTTCGTGGTCGCCATTATGATGTTTTCTGGCTGGCGGGGATGGGCCATGTCATCTACGTGGCTCAGGTTGTTGAAGGGCGCAGCGTCCACTGCGAAGAGCTCGCGCTGATAGGGGGGGTGGTGACGAACGTCCGGTCTGCGTTCGAAGCGGAGACGTTAGCTTTGGACGCAGCAGTATGTGCATTATGCAAGTATCTCGCCACAGATGTGTGAATGCTTGTTTCCATGTTTTCCATGTTGGTTTTCTCTTTCTCCTCCTCTTCCTCTTTGCCAGCTGGTTGATTCAATTTTTGTGCGGTCTGTGAGCGCCGAAGCGTCCCTCGACCCAGGCAAAGGCCCCCTGGGTCGTTATGAACCCGACGCAGTATCATGGCAGGAGCTGTGCCATTTCCTTCTCACAAGCCCGATAGGGCCAGCGGCAATCCGAAATAAAGAAAGAAAGCTGGGACGTCTGCCCGAAAGTTGCGATTGATTGTTTCAGCCTTCCCAAACTTTACCGCGGCCGACAGATTCCTATTCCAATAGAAGACTACACTCGAACCTCATGCCGGGGGCGGACTGAGACGCCATTCGCATGGCGTCGGCTCTTCAGGCTCATTCTGCACGATCGTCTGTCCTACAATGCGACCCTTGCTGCCCCCGGCATCCCCCCCATCGACCCCAGCCGGGCCGCATCGATTTCCACCGCCTTTCCCGTCAAATGATACAATACGGTGCGCGCATTTTGATAGAACAAGCGAGTGATGTGTTAAGCCCTATCGCGCTGACTTGTCAAGCAACCTTCGCAATGGCCTGTATCAAGTGCGCCATGCGGGCCACGCGCGCGCAGGCCGCGGTCATTCACACAGCCATTTTTCCAGCTCTCCGAGTGATGGCATTTTCGAACACCTATGAACGCCCAATTTTTTGTCCTGCAAAGCGCTGAGGGCTTCCTCGTGCGCGCCGGCGAACATGATGTGACAAGAGCAGGGGTGTCTTGTCAACTCTGTCATACAAGATCATGCGGGCCGTACGCGCGCGCCTCCGCGTGCGCAGTCCAATATTTTTGAAACAACCATCGCGCGTTTGCGCACATCTGCTGAACTCATAGGTTATAGATTTCCCTTTTTCGATTCTGTCGAACAACAAGCAACATCCAGGCCACACGCCCGCGCCCACGCGCACGCGAGCCATAACCATTGAAAAACCATTCGTGCAAGAAACATTGCAAATCGAGTTCATCAACAACGTATCATAGCAATCGTTTTGTGAACAGGTGAAAGTTATCCCAGGCTCCCCCCCGACATCGTCATCATCATCATCATCATCATCATCCTCCTCTCCCCCACCGGTTCAAGCATCTGCGTGAAAAAAACAGTCCGCACGTCATTTCACTTGCTGGAATTGTCTAGCGAATTCTGACGGGTAGTTTCATTCATGAGTCGAGGCAGTCCAGGAAGAAGAATTGGGAGTCCAGTGACTCTCTCAGGGAGTTCGAGGTAGTCTACAGTAGGCGTACTATATATGGAATCGGCCTGCCACCAGGTGCCCCATTCAAGACCTGACGAAGAGTGTGTCCCAATACTCCTAATGGCAAGATGTTTATCGTATGTTCCTACTGCTTTTTATTGTAGTCGCAGTTCTCTCCGTTTCCTGTCGTCTATTCGGGTTACGCTCCGTCGTTGACCCTGTGGTGTCGGCGCTCTCCACAGACGTGCAGCAAGTTCCCCTCCCATGGACCGGGCCTTTTTGCTCAGATTTTGAATCGGACTCGACCAGGTGTCTTTCTTCGAGCGTGACAGTTGACCGGCGTGACCGGAGGGGGGGGGGCGGTCACGTCATGATTCGCGGCAGCGCCGCCTGGGAATGGCTAGTTCCCTTTCGGCGCAGTCGCGAATCGTGACGTGACCAGGGGGAGTGGGGTGGGGTCGGGGCCGGTCATGGGCGCGACCGCGAATGATAAACACACATGGTTATTGTTTCGCTCAAGCCAGGGCTTCACCCTTTTGGCGTGTTTTTTTTTTTTCTGTTGGGAGCACGCTTCGGGCCGCCGTGCAGATGCCCCCTCCAGGGCCAGACCACGGGCATGGCGCAGGCGGCCGGGCCCGTGGGCCGGAAGAGGGGCAGCCCAGCCGGTTGAGCGCAGACCTTGCGGCGCTAAGTCTGGTGCGATGGCACTCCGCTCGCACAGCGGCCGCCTCATCTCGAAGAGCAATGAAGTGCACACGCGTATTTTCTCGGAGGCCCGCGCGGATTTCTTGGATCGGCGCTGGACCCCCCCCCCCCCCTTGGCGTGCGGAGTGAGCCAGGGACGGCGCCAGAGGCGCCGCCAGGGGAGGGGCCAGCGCTGATCCAAGAAATCCGCGCTGACCTCCGAGAAATTATGTTTGTGCAGTTATTGGTTACTTCATTCAAGAGGCTTACGCCATTCCGCCGACCCCCAGAAGAGGCGTGGAGTCCACGCTTGAAGCGTCGTGGGCTTCTTGGGCGCTACGTGGGGATTCCTGTGGGCAACCTGGAAGCTGCCTGGGAGCCTGGCGCAGCCTGGGGGAGTAGGCTTCTGGACTGGGCTGGGGCGGGGGGAAGGGACACAGGACGGCCAGAAGCGAGGAGGAGGAGGAGGAGGAGGAGGAGGAGGAGGAGGAGGAGGAGGAGGAGGCGGCGAGGCCGCCTGCAGACCCCCCCCCCCAAAGAACAAACCAAGAACGGCCAGGAGCCTCCGTCGGCGCCTCCTCCCCCCCCTTGCAAGGCGGGGGCCGGCGGAGCATCCGGCCCGGTGGCCCCGGGGCGCCTCCGGCCCCCACGTCCCCGCCGCCGCGCCCCCGCGCGGGGCGCCCACGCCGCCACCGCCGCGGAGCCTCGGCGCCCGGCCCCGCCCGCGGGGCGCACTCGGGCCGCCGCCGGCCGCGGCCCGCGGCGAGGGGGAGGGCCAGGCCGCGCTGATCCGGGTGAGCGCGGAGGAGGAGCGGGTGGAGGGGGAGGAGGGGGAGGAGGAGGAGGAGGAGGAGGGAGGAGGAGGAGGAGGAGGAGGAGGAGGGAGGAGGAGGAGAGGAGGGGGAGGAGGAGGAGGAGGAGGAGGAGGAGGAGGAGGAGGAGGAGGAGGAGGACCAGTGTAAACCCAAGAATCATTAACGATGTTGGAATTTACCCTCCCTCGAATTGAGCGCGCTGATCCGGGTGAGCGGGGGAGCAAACCGCACAACCGAACTCCGCGGAGGGCGTGGCGAGGTCCGAACTCCCAACCCTGCCTGCCAGCAGCTCAGGAGAGCCGACACGAGGAGCAAGCTCGGGGGAGCAAACTCGGGGGCCCCCAGACGGGGTGGTGACCACGCCGTGTGGTGAGTCGGTGGGTATTCGGGGCCACCGCACGGTTTTGGGGACTCGGGTCGTGCTGCGAGGACGCCTCGGGCGATCGGGGCCTCCGAGGTCCCAGGACCGTGCGTTGACGGACCGTGCGGTGAGGTCTTGGGGGGGTTCGAGGTCACCGCACGGTCTGTCACCGCACCGTTTCGGGACCCCAGACAAACCGAACCCGAACTCCGCGGAGGGCGTGGCGAAGTCCGAACCCCAACCCTGCCTGCCATCAGCTCAGGAGAGCCGATGGACGGCGGGGGTCGGGTTCGGACGTCGCCACCCGAGGATCGACGAAGAAAAGCCGCCGAATCACAACCTGTCGACGGGCCGCGCGGGTGTCTTGGATCTGCGCTGGGCCCCCCTTGGCTGCACCTCTGGCGCCGCCCCTGGCTCTCTCCGCGCGCCAAGGGGGGGTCCAGCGCGCATCCAAGAAATCCGCGCGGACCCTCGAAAGTTTCTGCTGCTTCGTCCTCTAGAGGAGGCCATCCTGGGCTATCGCCAGGCCGTGGGGGCACGCGACGACGGCCTGGAGCTCTTCCTGCGGGCCCCTCTGCAGCTCGCCACGGCCGAGCATTCGGCGGAGAACAGGGGCCTCGTCTGCGTGACGCTCGCGACGCCGGCTGCCCTCGATGGCTTGGGAGGCATGCAGGCCGCCCCTGGTGAGACGCGCAGCCCCTTCCAGGCCCAACATCTTTTGCCCGAGGGCGCCAGCCGCTTTTCCCTCGAGTGCGGCTGTGAGCTCGGTGCCCGTAGACTGCTGAACCAGCTCTCTGCAGCAGGCTGCGTCCTGCAGGGCTTCCCCCAGAGGTACGGGTTGCGAAATGAGATCGGCCGAGGGGGCTTCGGGGTGGTCTACCTGGCTCACGACACCTGGACCGGCCAAGAGGTGGCGGTGAAGGTGTTTCACTGCAGGGGTAATGGGATGCACATTCCCCCGTTCCGCGAGGCGATGCTATCACGTTGGGCCAGCTACCCAGTGTTCCCCGAGTTCAAGGCCATATACAACATATCGGACGAGGAGCTCGAAGAGTTGGGTTTGGGAGACGAGCTGTTCAACGAAACCATCGCCCTCGTGACGGAGTACATTCCTGGCGGCGATCTGTTTTCAAGTCCGGGGCCCCCTGTGGGCCCCGCCAGGGACGCCTCGAAGGGCGCCGGAGCCTTGGCCGATGCGCCCGACGCCGTGGATGCCCTGGGGATCGGGCGGTCGATTCCCCGCCGCCCGCTGGGCCGTCAGTGGCCAAAGAGCCGAGCACGGCCGCGTGCCGCGTTCGGCAAAGGAACCACGGAGGACCCCGTGTCGGCCGACCAGGGGGCGAAGCGCCGCGGCGGGTGGGGCGGGGATTGCTCGGCGGCGCAGGGGGAGGACCAGGACGGACCGGTGGCCCAGGCGGCGGAAAGGCGCGCCAGCAGTGCGCGCAGCACGGGTCGCCAGGGCTGCGGCGGCAGCGCGGATGCCCCGGCGTCCCCAGTGGGTGGGCCGAGCTTTCGCCGCAGTTGGCACCGGGTCGCGAGCAAGTCCGCGTCGCAAGCGGGTCCGTAACAGCTCTGCTTGGCGTTGCTGGGTGGAGGCAGGTATACTGGCCGCCTTTTTGCTGCGAGCTGGGCTGGAAGCCCCACAGCTCGAATCAGAGTGTCTTGCCGAAGACGTCGGTTTTCGGCTTCGACCGACCCCTGCTCCTGGCTCATGTTCGAGCCACTTCCCTGCAGTCTTCCATAATTTGGCCTTTTGCGGAGCATTGTGCTCCTACATCCAGCAGCGGCGCCGACACGGATAGGAGCGAGGGGGTTGTCAGTGAGTGAGGAGTTAACAGCCAAGGGAGAAAGCGATTTGAAATTTCATTCGCGTGGGCAGAATCCCCATCGCTCCGATGTCGATTGTTTATTCATGCTCTGCCACATGAGGCCATTCAATACGGGCGCGCTGTGTAGCATGCATCGCCCTCGCGCTTGTCACCTAATTGCTGCGAGCTGCTGCTTATTCTGTACGTGGTTCTGTTATCAGATCGCTCGCAGGCTCGATGCATAATCCGCTTCAGGCGGGCTCAGATTACGTGCGGGTTCGATGCTCCGCGCCAGCTTGCATTCCGCGCGGGCTGGGCACAGTCGTCAAGGCTTTTGCGAGACACGACGGCAGCCTGAACGTCGTGGGCTTCTCTGTTTTTCAGAGGATCGTGTCCTCTGCCCTCGTGTGTGGACCCATCTCCACGCTTTGCTCGGTCAGGCTTGCTGTTTGATGCACGCCAGGTGAGGGTGCCTCCAGTCGTCCGCCAACGTGATGGTTCCGTGAGGTTATGCGCCTGGGGTGGTCAGTGAGCTGTTTAGAGCACGGGCTTTGTTCCGATGTGTAGTCGTTGTGCTCTGTTCCGAACAATTTTATATAGGCCAAACTTTTTGTACAGTGACTTGGTTGCCCCACGGCACGTTCACTGCGCAGGACGTGAGCCCCACGCCACATTCAGCGCTCAGCTTGCGCTCATCCGCGGTGCCGGGGTACATAGAAAAGCAATGGGCTCTTGTTGCCCAGACTTCACATGGACTCGCATTGCCTCCCCTGGTCTCCAGGGCGGTCTGATTCTGGAGGTCATCACAAGGAGGACCGCTCGCAGGTTGCAGGCGTTTCGTGCCGACTAGCGATGTTCGATGAGCCCGAAACACGTGTCGTGTTCTTGAGCTACGGGGCGTCGATCTGCGGGCGCGCATCGTGAACTTTGGAGTGTGACCTTTGGCAGCGTATCAGCAAAATACCCAGACCTCATTTGATCAGCGAGCGAAGAACGGTATAAAATAAACTTTCCGCCGTCGGGGACACCTGCCCCTGGGCGGCTGGAAAAGTTTAAACCCCTACGGTGCCACCGTAAGGGTATAAACTTTCCAGCCGCCCTGGGGCAGGTGTCCCCGACGGCGAAGAAGTTTCTGTTACACCGTTCTTCGCCCGTTCATTTGACTTCTTCCTTGCTGCTGGTGCCCCGCCTCAGTCTCCCCCCTCCTTCGGAGGGCACCCACTATACACCAACACCGATCCTGGCCCAGGATCACCCTGGGCCCAGGATCGGTGTATATGCCTTCTTGCGCAGGGCAGGAGGGCGTATACACCGATCCTGGGCCCAGGGTGATCCTGGGCCAGGATCGGTGTTGGTGTATAGTTGGTGCCCTCCTACTCCTCGGAGCGCGGTGGCAGGTGCGGCAGGCCGGTCTGCCGGGCGTGCTCCCTGCCAGGCGCGGAGCGGGGCCCCCTTGGGGGCCTCGTGGGCGATCTTGGGGGCCTCTTGGGCCGTCTTGAGCCGTCGGAATGCCGAGAAGAAGCACGTTCCAAAATCCTTCAAAAACGTAAGGAAAATCAATGATTCTGGCATCTTCGGGCCCTCCTGGAGGACCTCTTGGAGGCCTCTTAGGAGGCGCAAGACAGTTTCCCCCTGCAGCGCTCCGGGAGGAGGGCCCCGGCGCGCTCCGTCGCCGAGGCAACCCCGATTCGTGGATCCTGGCGCCCACATGCAGGATTCGCAGATCTCTCAGCCATGTTGGCGTGCACCCGACTCTGAGCAGTGCTCGGACCTTTCCGAGGAGTCTTCCCGGAAAGCGAGAGGGTGTCTGACTGCCCCTTGGCCTTCTCAGGAGGCCATCCTTCACGCCCTGACCCGCGGCCAACGCCCTCTCCAAACGCTCCGGGTCTGCAGCAGCTAGGTATCCAATCCGAGTGCGGCGACGAAAGCTTTTCTAGAAACGCCGAGAATCACAGACGCTCGAAATCACTTGACACTGCGATGTCGACGGCGACGAAGCAGAGAGTGAGTGATGAACACGCTGTGGCGTCGGGGGTCTGGGCGGGTCCCTCTGGCGGGGGCGGACGACGGGGTGTGGTGGGGAGAAGCGGGGGGTTTACGACACCTGCTGGGTGCAGCTGGTTTCGACCCCGCCGCCAGGCGCTTTCAGAGATACCCGGCCGCTCACTGCGTCGGGGGAGGTACCCGGGGAAATCCAACGGAACGGGGCTGATTCGCCCCCCCTCTCTTCCAGGGTTATTCGGTACGATCTAGGTTGGTCCTGGGTGCGGAAAGAATGGGTGCGAAGACCGACAGCATGTCCTGTTCATTTTGGACAGGGCTCGCTGTCGGAGCCGCCGCGGGCGTTGTCCATTTGAGGCAGAAGACCGCCTGCCCAACAGCGGCCGCTGTCGGTGCCCATCGTTTCCGTACCCACTTCGGGCGTCCATAGTCATCCCCCCTAGTAAGCGTGACATTTTTCACAGCTGGTTCGGTACAATTCCGCCTCCAGCGGCCTTCGTGGAGGGGACCTGCGTGCTACAGGGCACGCCTGCCTCCGGAAGCCAGCCCTTCCTTGCGACGGCGGACCTCCCTGTCGTCTGACCCGACTTCGGGACCAGAATAAGCTGCTCCAGAGCGTGCCGGAGCGCTGGAACGGCCGCGGCGGGCGCCCGACGCATCCTTCCAGAACCGCCGGATCTCAGAGATACCCGATTTGCCCCAGTCCGATGTTGTCCCAGTCGTGGCATCGTTTCACGACTTCGTTCGGGGGGGCCCGCGCGCAGAGGTGGCGGAGGGCCAGGACGGCGCCTGCAACGCGGCGCCGCCCCGCCGCCGTCGCGCGCGCACGCACGCGCGAAGGATCGGCGCGGGAGCGGGCGGGAGGCGCGAGGGAGGGAGGGAGGCATGGAGGGAAGGAGGGAGGTACGGGGGGGGGAGGAGAAGGAGGACGGGGAGGAGAAGGAGGAGGAGGAGGAGGAGGAGGGATGGAGGGATGGAGGGATGGAGGGATGGAGGGATGGAGGGATGGAGGGATGGATGGAGGGAGGGAGGGAGGGAGGGAGGGAGGGAGGGAGGAGGAGGGGGAGGAGGAGGAGGAGGAGGAGGAGGAGGAGGAATAGTAGTACAAATGCTAACAGTAATGCTAAAGCCATTATCCATATAATACTCATAATTCTGTCAGTACGAATATTACTACTAACAATAGCAACAACATACTAATAATGTTGATAATGCTGACAGTCGTATTAATATTATTGTTGAATAATACGAATTAGAATACCAATACTACTAATATTACTATCCAGAGTCATAATAACAATAGCAGTAGTAATCGTACATAATGGTAATATAGTATTAGTAGTACTACTAATACGAATGCATTGCTGCTGCTGATGATGATGATGCTGATGATGATGATGCTGATGATGATGATGAGGAGGAGGAGGAGGAGGGATGGAGGGAGGGAGGGAGGGAGGGAGGGAGGGAGGGAGGGAGGAGAGCGAGAGAGAGAGAGAGAGAGAGAGAGAGAGAGAGAGTGAGAGAGAATGAGGGAGAAGGAGAGGGTGGAGGAGCAGGAGGAGGAGGAGGAGGCAGAGGAGGAGGAGGAGGACAATGAGGAGGAGGAGGAGGAGTAGGAGGGCGGCTGCGTTTCGAACAGACTCCGCTGCCCGCAGCGGTTCATGCGGGTCAGGAGGAGGAGGAGGAGGAGGAGGAGGAGGAGGAGGAGGAGGAGGAGGGAGGAGGAGGAGGAGGAGGAGGAGGAGGAGGAGGAGCAGGAGCAGGAGCAGGAGGAGGGGGAGGGGGAGGGGGAGGGGAGGGGGAGGGGGAGGGGGAGGGGGGAGGAGGAGGGGGAGGAGGAGGAGGAGGGAGGGAGGGAGGGATGGAGGGAGAGAAGACGAGCGGGTTTCAGACATAGATTCTTCTGTAGTTCCACAAATTGTTTGGGGCCTCGGGAGGGCTCTAGAGTTCCCGGGGACCTCTGGTGCCTGAGGGCTCCCCAGAACCTTCAGAGTCTCCCGGGGGCACCTGCACGCACGCGCCTTTGAGGGCCAACCTGGCAGCGCTTCCCGATGCTGCAGACGCACGATCCCGAAGCCACCTCACCACGAGTCTCGGGGGAGGAGAAAGTACCAATACCGCTACCCTTCCCTAGTTTCTCCCTCTTTTGGGGGCCTCCTGAGAGGCCCTCGTCGCCACCGCTGGATTGAAATCCTGGGCAGGATCCCTGGCGAGGTCCACGGAGTAGCGATCTCGGCACCTTTTCTGTTTTCCCAGAGTCGCGTAAGCGTTCCCTCTCTTTACTGTAGCGAGCTCCCGCTGGAGGGGTGGGGCCCCGCATGCATGCACGGTAAGAGCCCCACGTGCTCTGGAGTGCACATCAGCGGGAGACGTGGCCGCGTGGCGCTGCAAGAGCCAATTTGAGACTGGACGGGAGTCGCCGTGCATCCGTGCAGCTGGTGGACTACAGTTTAGAGCTGAAGCAAGTGAACAGGGGCCCCTTCTGGCTCTGGAGGGTCAGTGGTCTTCGGGCCGTTCTTCAGATCCAGGTCGGGAAACCTTTTCGTGGCCGAGGCTCGCCGTGGTAGGGAAAGCCCCTTCGTTCCTTATTCAGTCTCCCCTATGGTAGCGCGATGACTGTCACCTGGCAAGGGTCGATTGGGGACGGGACGGGAAACACAGGAGGGAGGGGAAGAGCAAGGACGGTGCAGTGAAGAGCGAACTAAAGCGCATCATTCGCACCAGCTCGTGTGAGCTGTGGGCGTGGAGCCATGCAAGATTAGCATGAAGCGCGCCACTCGGGAGGAACGTCGCACGCGGGTGCCGACAAATAGCCCAGCTCTGACACAATACAGTCCAGCGCATGCTGGCATCATAGCCCAGGTTTCTATCGCGCTGGGTGAGGAGAGGCGAGAAACGAGAGGGAGCACCAGTCGGTGCCCAGGCTTACGGATTGTGTCACGGCAAGGCTGTGACGGGGGTTGGAGTCGCCACGCATGCGCGCGGCGCCGGAGCGAGAGAAGCAGCTGCCTCCATCCACGCAGCGGATAAACGTGCTCACGCTGTCGGGGCAGGAGATCTCGGCCAGACTCCTGCGAGGTGCAGGAATTCGAAAGGAAATCGCCCTCCACCTGTGCACGAGCAGCCGTTGGAACCTTTGAGCGCTTTCTGCCATTCCCCCGTGCAGGTGCTGGAAGCGTTTGTGACGAATCCGCGCGGCGCCCAGGCGAGGGACGGCGGGAGCACCAGATTGAGAAGAAACCGCCCTCCAGCCAGTGCAGCTGATTGCAGTTTCGAAGGCGAGTCTGCGCGGCGCCAAGGCAAGTGGCCGCAGCCTGACAGCCCACCCCCATCTCGCCGTGAGGCTGCTGGGAATATGTTACGACGAGTGTGCGCGGAGACGGGGCGAGATCCGCGTGTCGACCACCGCCCGCCGTCCATCAGTGCAGTTGTTGGGAACGTGTAGGACCAGCGTGCGCGGTGCTAAATGCGATGTCCACATGGGCGCTGGCCGAATTTTCGAGCGATTGCAATCATACTGGGGAAGCCGTGGTCGGCGTTTTGGGGGAACGTGCCGGTTTCTGCCAAGTCTGAGGTCCCACAGGGGCCCAAACCCTTCGTGTTCCCAACCATCGCCCCCCCGAACAACGCCGACGTAGAAAGTTGATGCCCGCGCGAACACGCTTGCTTCACAGCCAGCAGCCCTCGTGCGGAAAAGCAGTGGGGGTATTGATGCGTCGGGTTGCCTGAAGATGGCGATGATATCATTTGTCACGGAAGATGGATGGAGGTGGAGGAGGAGGAGACGACGGAGCAGGATGCAATGCAGAAGGAGGGAAGGGTAGGATGGTTGTGGGACAAATGAAGCATGGTTGCTGAGAGAGAGAAGGAGGAACGAGAGAGAGACGAGAGGGATGAGGGAGGAGGAGGGAGGAGATTGGGGGAGGGATGAGGGGAAGGATGACGAGGGGGGAGGAGGGTGAGGAGGGCGGCGACTCAGGAAGAGGAGCCGGGAGGGCAGGGAAGAGTTGGAGGTTTAAGAAGATGATGCAGTGAGAAGGAGGAGGAGGAGGAGGAGGAGGAGGAGGAGGAGGATGAGGAGGAGGAGGAAAAGGGGGAGGAAAAGGAGGAGGATGAGGAGGAGGAGGATGAGGAGGATGGGGGGTGGGGGATGGGGGGAAGATGCGGCCGTGGGATGATGAGCAGGAGGAGGACGTGAGAGAGAGAGAAGAGGAAGGGCGAGGAGGAGGAGGGAGGCATAGGGCGGGGGGGGGAAGGAGGAGGAGTGGACGGACGGGGGGGAGGGGACGGGCGAGGACGGGATCGATAGAGAGACGGAACCGAGAAACAGGGAGAACGCCAGGGCTCAAGAGACGAGGAGGAGGAGGAGGAGGAGGAGGAGGAGGAGGAGGAGGAGGAGGAGGAGGAGGAGGAGGAGGAGGAGGAGGATCGAGAGAGACGGAACCGAGAAAAAGGGAGAACGCCAGGGCTCAAGAGTCGGGGGAGCGTAAGACCCGGGTTTGCCGGGACTCGGGTTCGCCACCGTTTTTTGACGACCGCGCCTCGGATCTTGACGAGGAGGAGTTTCGTGGGATGTCCGCAGCGGGAGGCCTCGTCAAAATGCAGGCTCGGCCTCGTCATTTTTTTGACGACCTCGTCGGGGATTTCCGAGTCCCCCGTACCCGGGTCTTACGTCTCCCCGATCAAGAGACGGGGTCAATGCAAACCAGAGACAGCCAGAGCGCGGGATCTTGCAGGCTCCTGCAACACCAGGGCTGCACCAACCTGGGCTCGCGTGCAGAATTCTGCAGGATCCTGCAGGATCCTGCAGGATCCTGACGGACCTGGGTTTGCATCGACCCGTGTCGGTGCGTTCCCGAGAGCGGGGAGGAGGACAGGGAGGGAAGGGGTCATGCTCCTGTTGCTCCTCCTTCTCCTCCTAGCGTGCTTTGGAAGGAGGTCAGCCTGCATCTCGTCTGGAGTGGCGAGTGGGGGGCGGAGAGTGGAGAGTGTTGGGTGCTGGGATTGGTCAATCGAAGTTTGGCGACATTACTGGTTTGCGTGGCAGGAAGGAGAGGGAGAGAGAGAGAGAGAGAGAGAGAGAAAAAAAAAAAAGAGAGAGAACGCCAGCTCGGACCAGGTCTGGTCCAGGCCCAGCCGCGGGCTAGGGCATCGCGGGCCTGTCTCACGGAGCGGGAGGCGCCGCAATACGAACAGAGATGGGGAGCTACCATCTTCCCTGGCGCGGTCCGTATGACCCCGACTGGAAAGCAAGCGGGTCTGTGGTGAACAGGCCACTCAAGGGCCCGTCTGCACATCCAAGAAAAACGTCAGTTGCAAGCGTGCGTTGGCATGCGCGCCTCGGCACCTCAGTGAACCGAGGCGCCGCTTTGGGGCGCCCCCCGCACCGGCCCAGTGCTAGAGCTACGGAGCAGTCGCCAGCAGCTCGCGCAGCGGACTCAGAGTATGGGGAGGCTAGCACTGGTGCGCTAGCGGTGAGCATCGAGGCACGCCGGGTGGCTTGCTTGGGGAGAGGCCCCAAGGTCAGCAGGCGACCGGAAGGCGTGATGAATGCCCTTCCAGGTGGTCTGTGTTCTCTGGACTTTGTCAAGACGGGGTCCTGACTGTTCCCAGGTGCTGCACGCAGGACATGAACGGGGCTGGCAGCACGTTGACGCAGCGCTATGATGCTGGTAGTGAGGGCAGTCCCGGCACCGAGGTCCGCAGATCGACTGGCAACCGTGAGGCGTGGCGCGGCACGACTCCGTTCGGTGGTCTGTGCTGGAGTCGCTCGGATGCCTTCACCTTCGTGAGCGGTGCTGAGGCCGTGGCAGCGGCCGGATGGCGGGACGCGGCAGCGGCCGGATGGCGGAGCGCGCCGCGTCGAGGGCCTGGGGGTGCGGCAGCACGGCCCAGCCCATGGGGTTTCAAGGCGGCGGCACTTGCGCCCGCGTGGGGGGCCCAGTACCCGGGCCGTCGCTAGCCTCGCGCGGGTCCTCTCTCAGGTCGTTGGCGCCCGGGGGGGGCTCCCGGTGGCCACCCACCTCCAGAGGCATCAACGCTGCGTGCCTCCTCGGCCGCGGGAGGACGAGGGAGGGACGGCAGGGGCGGAGCTACGGTCCGAGTGGTCGAGCTCCCGTGCAACTTGCGCAGGCTGGGCCCCCGCCGCTGGGTCCCAGCGCCCTCCCACCTCCAGCGGCGTCGCGTGTTTTGCCGTCTCACTCTCGACGTCGTGGTGCTCAGCGTGCCGCCCCGTCGCACTGCTCGACGTGCCGAGCCGTCCCACGCTCACCGCCGTGGTGCTCAGTGTGTTCGCGCTCGTGTTGCCGTGCCGTCCCGTCGTGCTGGTCAGCTTCGTGGTGCTCGACCCGCTGGTGCTGCACAGCGTCGGGGTGCTAGTCGCAGACGAGGTGTTCGCGGACGTGGTGCTCATTGCCCGTAGATTCGAGACTGTTGGTGCTGGGTCCCGTCGTGATGCGCCACGCCGTGTTGCTTGATCCCGTCGTTCTGTTCGGTGTTGGGGTGCTGACCCATGGCGTGCTGCTCAGAGACGTGCTCGTGGCACTGCTCGTTTCACTCGTTTATGTGAAGCTAGTGGTGCTGAGTCTCGTCGTGCTGCTGGTATGCGGCTTGGCGGCTGAGGCGGGGTCCTGGTGGCCACCCGCCCCTGGAGGCATCGTAGCCTTGTACCCTTCTCGGACGCGGGGAGGAGAAGGGAGGGACGGTGGGGGCTGAGCTGCGTTCCGTGTGGTCGAGCCCCCATGTAACATGTCCGGCAAACGGCCTGGCACCTGGGGTTGGGTCCTGCTGCCCCCCCACCTCCAGAGACGTCCCGTGCCGTCCCATCGTACTTTCAGCGCCGCTGTGCACAGCGTGGTGTCCCGTCGCGCTGCACAACGTCCCGCCCCGCGGTGCGAAGCGTGGTGCGCAAGTGCGTTTCGGTGTGCGACGAGGTGCTGCCCGCGCACCGTGGGAGGCCGCGCGTTTCCGCGCCGGCCCCGCCTCCATCTGTCCGTCGAGCCCCGGGGGGCGCCGCCGCGAGGCGCCCCGCTGCCCTCCGCACGGCTCGGGGCCGCGAGGTCGCGGGCAGCGCCTGTGGGGGGGGGGGTGTGCCACGGGGTCGCGGTACCCCGCGGGGGCCCCACACCCTCGCGGCCCGGCAGGGGTCCTGCTGGAGGCGCCGCGTGGCGGGCACCCTCCCATCAGGAGGGAAAGAAACACACAGACACAATGAATCGTCGATTCCCCAGAAAATATGGGAAAATATGGGAAGTGGGGGGGAAGACAAAAACCCAGAAAATATAGGAAAATATGGGGAATCTTTTTATTTGTGTGTATTTATTTGTGTGTTTGTGGGCCCCTTCATCCCAGCGGCCGCCCGGACGAGCCCGGGAGGCCTCTTCGAGGCACGGTGTGGCCGGAACCGCCGGGGAGGAAAAGCGGCGCCGTCGGGCTGCTTGTGATCACGGTGCTGCTCCCAGACTCGGGTCGGGCGAAAGGGGGGGATTGGGAAAGGGGGGGTTACGAAATTTGCTGCATGCAGCTGGTTTCGGCCTCACCGAGGGGCCAATTCCTCGATACATGGCCGCTCCCGGCGCCGGGAGGCGCCGGAAGAATCAGCTACGTGAGCTGATTCTCAAACCCCCCCTTTGCTATCCCCCCCTTTCGCCCGGCCCGACAGACGTGTTGGGAAGGGGCGTGGTGATCGATGCGCTGCTTGCACTGGTCGTCACACTCGTTGGCGCGAGGTTGCTGGTGCAGAGTCCCGTCGTGCCTCCCAGCGTCGCGGAGCAATTCTGGTTCGTGTTTCTTGAGACCGTTTTGTGCTGAGATCGTGGTCCTGGACGTGCTGCTCAAAGACGTGGTGCACGCAGAATTGTTCGTCTCTCTCGCAGATGTGCTGCAGCTGGTGATGGATCTCGTCGTGCAGCTCAACGTCATGATGCTCGCCTTCATCGTGCTGCTGGTAGGCGGACTGGGGCGGGGTCCTGGTGGCCACCCGCCCCTAGAGGCATCGCAGCCTTGTACCTTCTCGGACGCGGGGAGGAGAAGGGAGGGACGGTAGGGGCTGAGCTGCGCTCCGTGTGGTCGAGCTTTCATGCAGCTTGCAGCTTAGGCGGCCTGGCGCCTAAGGCGGGGTCCTGGTGGCCCAACACCTCCAGAGGCGTCCCGTCCCGTCCCGTCGCGCTGTCAACGTCGTGGTGCACAATCTGCTGTCCCGTCACACCGCTCGGCGTGCCGTCCCGTGGCACGCTCGATGTCGCACTGATCGACGTCGTGGTGCTTGGTTCGCTGATGCTGCTCCGTGTCGGGGTGCTGGTCACAGAGGCGCCGTTCCCCGACGTGCTGTTCATTGCGCTGCTCGCCTCATTCGAAGATGTGAGGCTTGTGGTGCTGGGTCCTGCCGTCCTGCTTGGCGTCATGGTACTCAATTCGTTCACGTTGCTCAGGATCGAAGTCTTCGTCGCCGACATTCTGCTGACGGACGTGCTACTCGAAGCATCGTTCGTCTCACTCTTGAATGCGAGGCTGCTGGTGCTGTATCCCGCCGAGCTGCTCGACGTTCTAGTTCTAGAGAGAAGAGAGAGATAATACGAACAAAGGAAGAAAGAGAGAGAGAGAGAGAGAAATAAAGAAAGCAATACATCAATAACGAAAGAGGTTACTATCCAGACCTCCAGATGTTCCACATATGCCGACCCGCTGCGGACATCTGATTCTGAGAACGGAGCGTGTTAGGCTCGGAAGATCGAGGGCACGCGCTGCGAAAAACTCACGAGGTTGGAGTTCTGGGAGGCGATGTGGGGAGTATGCATGTACTCACAGATAGGGAGGAAGGGACAGAGATAGAGACAGAGAGAGCGGGAGTGGGCGGCAAGAACAGACTCAAAACTTTTGCTGGGTTGCCCAGAGGTGGCGCACGTTTGCCAAATACAGTTTGCAGTTCTACCCCTGCCATGGCACGGGTCCGCCACCAAGCCCTCTTGGGAGCTCTGACGGGGCTCCTTTGCCGACCTGCTTCCACGGCACGGCAGATTCCGACCGTTCCAAACGTGAAAGAGACCCTCGACGATCTGAAGCAGCAATTCGGCGAGCAGTTCGGACTCGGACTCAACGCCTCACTCGTGGGTGACCATCAATATCTGAAGGGCCGCGCCCTCAGCCGCCAGATCCCCAAGCCGAGCCATCCTGGGGCTGTGCCTGAGCCGCATGGCTGGTTGCCCTCCTGGGGCTGCTGGGCCACCAGGCGGGATCGATCTGCCGCGGCGCCCGAGGCCACCACGGGGCCAGGCTTGGAGCTGGCGGACCTTCTCTTCTGGTGCCGCCTCTGGCAGGGAGGCCGACGTGGAGGAGGTCGAGGAGCTGAGGCAGGAGCTTCAGGAGAAAGCCTCGGCGCTCGCAGGCAGCGAGCGGAGCCAAGGAACTCGGGGTGGCCCGCGCCCGGCGGCGCGGAGGGGGGCATCCTTGGGCTGGCAACGGTTGGGCTTCCAGTGGCCGTCCCTCGAGGGCCAGAGCGCAGAGAACGAGCTCCAGCTCGAGGCTCCGCGCGGAGCTCCGAGGGCGCACGTCTGTGCCAGTCTGGGCCCCTCGACCGGGGCCTCCTGTGGCCCTCCTCACGGCCTGCCGCCCCGCGGAGGTGGCCCGCGGATCTCTACGGGTGCCCTCGCATTTACAAGCACGGGGGCAGGTCGACCGAGGATTTCAACGTGTGGTGGAAGGCGGTCGACAAGGCAGTCGACAAGGCAGAGGCGTGGGCCAGATGGTCCAAGATCAAAGCGCTCGAGGCGAAACCCAGGTGGTCTCGAGGAGGACCGGCAAGATGAGAAGGATGAGGAGGGGGAGCGGGATAGGGATGTAAGGACGGAGACGTAAGGTAATGTGAGCAGGAGGAGGAGCAAGAGGATAACACATTATCCAGCTGCCTGCGGCAAGTCCCGCCACCATTCCTGAGTTGTGGGTATGAAGCCGATTGGATGTTCGCTGGGATCTCGTGGGAGGCCTCTCGGGGGCCTCTTGGAGGCAGTTTTCAAGCCTCTTGGGGGCCGTTTTGGGGCCTCCTGGGGCCTCTTTTGAGCCTCGTGGGGGCCTCTTGGGGCCTCTTGGAGGCCTCCTGGGGCCTGGGGGCCTCTTGGGGCGGAAGGCTTGGATTTTCGGTTCGTGTTCCCCCTCTTGGGCCCCGTTGGGAGCCGTCTTGGAGCCCTCTCTGTCCTTCTTGGGCGCCTCTTGGGGCCCCCAGGGGCCTCTAGGGGTGGAAGGCTCGGGGTTTCGGTGCGTGTTCCCTCTCTTGCGGTCCTCTTGGGGCCGTCTTGGGCGCTTCTTGGGCCGTCTTGGGCCGCTCTCAGGCCGTCTTGGGGCCCTCTTGGGCCTGGAGGCCTCTTGGGTCGTTTGGGGTGGGTTTGGGGGCTTATTCGCCGTACTGGAGCGTCGGAACGCCGAAGACGCGAGAGAACGCCCAAACCTCCCACAAACTAAGGAAACTCAATGAGGTGTGCCTCTTGGGGCCCTCTCGGGAGGCCTCTCGGGGCGTCTTGGAGGCCTCCTGGGCCACCTGGAGGCCGTACCGTGGTGTTGGGCGCCTTCGAGCGACCGTTCGGCGACCCGGTGCCCTCTTGGACGGGGCCTCCTGGGCCGTCACGGTGGCCTCAGGGGGGCCCCAGGGGGGCGCCGTTGCCGCCCAGGGGCCCCCCCCGGTAACAGGAGAGACGCAGGCAAGTCGGGGAAGCGTGACCACGGGGGGGTCCCTTTAGATCGGGGCTGGACAGAACCCCCAACAGTGACACGTCGATTAGTGAATTGTCCGTTTTCGGCTTTCGAGAGGGCGCCGTGGCCGTTATTTTCCAGGCTTGCGCCCGCCGGGTTTGGGCCCGAGGTCGTTTTCACTAAACCACGTTTTGCTAAAGGGGGTTCTGTCCATCCCCGATTAGAAGACTGCAGAGGCCCTGCCAGGCAGCCCTTGGCATCCTTCCACGCCTCAGCGTGCCGCAGGTACGGTGGCGGATGATAGGAAGCTGATGGCGCAGACGCAGGAGCCAGCGGAGAAGAAGAACTTGGCATCGCTCGGACGTGTGCGTTTTTTCCTTCGGCGAGGACCATCGGGGAGCATCCTTGATCATTTCGCGAAAAAGCCACGCACGAAACCGAAGACAAACAGGAAATGGACGTCCGAGCGATGGCCAGAGAAGTGACACGAAGGAAGTGGAGACGGACTAGAGTACACCCATGACGCAACAAAGATATGGCACGTGCAGCGGGCAGCGGAGTGGCGCGCCCATGTCGAACGGCTCAGTCTTCATCAGCAGCGTTTCGGAGAGGCAGCGCCACTCTGACGCATGGAAGTGGGTTGCGTCCTTTGTTTTCGTATACAGTGGAAGCCCATCCCAAGAAACACCCTGCTTGCCTTCAGGGTGCCCTTGGTTTTTGGGGGTTCGATGATTTTGCTAGGGAACGCGTGACGTTCCCACACCAACAATCAATGGACGCCCTTGGGTCTCAGAGTTGGGTTTCTTATGGGAGGCTTCTTGTTGTCGAGCTCCTACTGTAAGTTCGTACCTACCGGCCAAGGGAGGTGGGGGAATGGTCCAAATCGGAGCCAACACAGCGCCCGCGTGCACTACGCCTAGTCAAGGATATGTACGAGCTTGTCACCCTCAGGACCCTTCCAGGCATCTTGCTGCACATGGATCAGTTAATGCCCCTCAGCGGTTCTCTACAGCACCGCCTGTCTTCTTCCAGGGTGCCCTGGATCATCGGTATCGTACTGACTTGATCACTTAAATCTTGTACTGGGAGCTTCGATGATGCAGCTTTCCGTCACAGGTCCCCTCGTCATCAGACCGTACAAGTGTTCTTGTCTTTGCAGGGGAGACCCATGAATCATAAGCATTCCGTGGCCCTGCCGTTCAGACGACAGCCTCGACTTGAGAAGTGCCCGCCTTCCATCCTTGAAGCACCTACACTCGTCAGCACATGGTCAAAAGTCAAAATCCAGGGAGGTTTGTCTTGATCCGTGTAACTCTTGCACGCACGTTGGTTAGATGTTCGTCTTGGGGCTTTCAGGGTGCCCACCTGACGGATCTGTCATGATCTAGTTCAGTTCCAGCAGTCTAATATTATTGTAGATGTATGTGCAAGTATGTCGACTGATTCGATGCTTGCTCGGTTCAAGTTCGGCTCAAACAAGTTCGACTCAGGTTCGACTCAAGTCGACGGACGGTCGACGCATCATCGACTCATGAGTGGAGCGAGTGGCTCCAGGGAGATCCTCAGACCCAGCGTCGACTTTTGAAGCAGAAGGTCAGTGTTTTCCCCATGTGCGGGGAAACTGGTCCTCTCGCAATCTTCTGCGCTAATCGGAGCGCGCTGCCCGCTGCGCGCGCTCACAGGAAACACACGGGCCGCAGCGGCAGAACCGACAAGCTGCGCGCAGCGCGGGGAAGCCGTGCACGCAGCGCGGGTCAGCCGTGCACGTACGCGCCGAGCAAGGCGCCCGTGGAGAAATTCGAACAAGAAAAAGCTGCGTACACATGAATGTTCGGAGCTTCGCGCGGAGCTTCGAACTCTTATGTTAATGCGTTTGTTTTGTTTCTGCAGGCGTCCGAGACAGTGAGCGAATGGAGTGCAACCGAGGTTACGTGTTTGACAACGTCTGCATCATCATCTACTGCCGCGCCCACCCGCACTTCAATCGGGCCGCACGCCCGTGCGTCTAGGGTGGTCTCGTCGTCTCGTCTCGTCTGAAAGCACCCGTGGAGAAACTGGTGTTGCGGGGCAGGAGGGGGCCGCGGGCGGCTTCGGTCGCGGCGCCCGCCGGTGCTCCTGAATGTGCTCGCGCCGACGCCGTCGGCGGCGGCGGAGGCAGGACGTCCCTGCGGGAGCTGGCGCGACTACGGGCCCGCGTCCGCAGGGGCGGCGTCGGGGAGAGACCGAAGAGCTCGATGTGGAGCCCGCTCTTCTCCAGGCCGATGCAGCGCCGATGCAGCGCCGACGCGTCGCCGATGCATCGGCGAGGCGGCGCGATGCACCGACTCCACCTATCCTCCTCCTCGATCCTTCTCCTCCTCCTCCTCCTCCTCCTCCTCCTCCTCCTCCTCCTCCTCCTCCTCCTCTGGGGGATGGACCCCATTTGGGATGCCTCTGGTTGCGGGACGGCGTTCGCAGGGGCGGCCTCGGAGAGGCCGCGGTGGCGGGAGGGGCGCTCGCAAGGGGGGGTGGCAGGGAGAGGCCGCGGGTGCGGCGCCCGGGAGGCGCCCGCCGGAGGCCCGCGGCGGGGGGCGGCGGGGCCCAGCGCGCCGTGTGCGGGGCCGCGGGGCGCGAGAGCTCTGCGGGGAGAGAGCGCGCAGGCGCGGCCGCGAGCCGCTTGCCTCAGGCTTCCCTTGTGTTTCCGACCGGAAATCGGAGGTTAACTTATGGAAAAAAGGGGCCTCGTTCCTTATTCAGGGTTCCTTAGGTCAACGCCCCCGGCTGTAGCCATCGCCGGCGCCTGCGACGGCCCCCACGAGCTCTGCGCCCACGGGCACGACGGCGACGGCGACGGCGCCTGACTGCCCGCGCTTCCCTAGCCTGCCCGGCCGGCCCTTGACTTCGAACCTCGGACAGGTTGTGGCAGCCACCGCCGTGAAGATAGCCCTCGAGCTTATGGTGTGTAAGGCTGCCTGGACCCCCCCCTGCAGTCAAGATGCTGTAATAAGGACCTCTTTGGCTTCGGAAGGGGCTCGTTGTCTCTTAGACCATTCCGTGGCTGTTCCCTTAACCCTCCTCATGCACCCAGGCTCTTCTGGTGCCAGAAGGGTCTTCGGTTCTTATCTGGCGTTCCTCATTGCAGCAGCTTGACTGTACCCCACCTTCGGCCGGTGAAAAAACGAAGGGGGGGACTTGCAGCAGCAGGGGGAATACATGCGCACACTCATGTGTAGTTGCATCTGGTGGCGCATTCCAGTACCGCCTCCAGCATCGAACGAGCTGCCTTCGAAGCGCGCGGTTTTCGCTTATTCGGTCACGGACCCTTCTTCCTCGCCATTCGCGGTGATGGTTCTCACAACGGTACTACAGATCGTGAAGCATTTTGCCACCCGCTTGCCTCTCGTGTCACTTGGAAGCGGTGAAAGCGAATGCGTGGAGCGAACGTGAGAACAACACCGTGAAAGATTACCGCTCTCCACAGCTGCAGCTGAAAATATTCAATCTTCTGGATCAGACGCTGCGAGTGGAACCCGGGCGAAGCGCCCAGACCGCTTCGCTGACAGGTTTGTTTCTGCGACAAGGAGACGCTGTTTGGAAAGGAGAGGGCATGGTAACTGCACGGGATGTCGCCATGATGATATGAGAGGGGGAAGACGGAGGAGGAAGGGAAGGGGGACGAGGAAATGTGAGGGTGGCGGATCAGGAGGATGATGACATATGGAGGGCGAGGAGGAGGAGCAGGAGACAGGTGGTCAAATATCGGACTCGCCGTGATCAACACGCTCGAGAGGCACGAGGGCGCGGCCCGCGGCATCTCGTGGGACACGTTCACCGACACGGCCCTGGACTCCTTCTGCGCCGTCGTTCTTGGATGTGGCTTTCTGCTGTATGGCGTCTGAGGCTCTGGTTGGCTCCCGGAGTCTTCCAGAGGCCTCTGGAAGTTTTCGTGGGATCTTCGGGTACTTCCATGGATCCTTCTGGGAACGGTCGTCGTTGTCGTCGTCATCTGTCTTCCGCCTCCGCTGCCCCATTGTCCTCTTTCCCCTCTGCCCATTTTTCGTCACCCTTGCGGCACCGATTTTCAGCATTCCGCGACCCCCCCATCATCGTCGTCGTCGTCGTCGTCGTCGTCGTCGTCATCATCATCATCATCATCATCATCATCATCATCATCATCATCATCCTCATCCTCATCCTCATCCTCATCCTCACCATCATCATCATCATCATCATCATCATCATCCTCATGCGCTTCTCTATTCTCCTTGCCGCTCGCGCCCGTTCAGGTCCTGCAGCTTCTCGGCCCCAAGCTTGCTCTTCTCGCCCCCCGCTCCCCCCGCCGCGCGCGCGCGCGGCCAGGGCGCCAGGGGGCTTGCGGTTGCCACCGCCGCGCAGGTTCCTCTTCACCTACGCGGCGGTGTTCTACTTGCTGGGCTACGAGCTGCTTTGGGCCACTGCCGCAGGCAGGGGTCCAAACGCTTCCTCCGTGATCTGGCTGGTTCGGGGTCGCTCTTTCACCCCGCCAGTCAGAGCTCGGGTGGGGGTGGGCCGGCTGCCTCCTGTGGGCACCCGGCAGCGGCGAGTGAGCACACTCTCCGCTCGGGCGCCGCTGCCCCCCTGGCAGTGCGCGCCCGTGTCATCTGGGCGTGGCCCCAGCCAGGCCGTCCAGGCAGGCGTCTGACCTGCTCGCGGGTTCCTCCCGCGCCTGCCGCAGCTGCTGCTCGTGCGACGCTGGCTTCTGAGCCCCGTCCCGCAGGCTCGGCATCCGATGGCGCCTGCCTCCCTTTCGCCGCTACAAAACTCCCCTCCTTCCTCTTGCCTCTTCCCCTTGGACCCCGGAGCGGACGCCCATCTGAGGAGAGGAGTAGGAGGTGGAGTTCCCTCGCATCACGAGGAGGCCGCGCCATCGGCCCGGGAGAAGAGTGCTCGCGCTACGCCCGTTGCCGGCGCCACTCAAGGGTCGAGCCCGCCCGCCGCCGAACGGTCTATTGCTCGCGCCACGAGTGTCGCCGCCGCCTCTCGGAACACCGCCCGCCTGGCAACAGGCGGAGAGGCCACCGGCGCGAAGATAACGGCGTCCAGGACGGAGGAGTCGGAGTCGGTGGACCCTCTCTTTCTCCACTCCCCCTCTACTCCTCCCCCTCCAGTCGCCGCTTCGCCATGGCTCAGCTGCCGTTCGCGGCATCGTTTCCCTCGCGTGGGCAACGACAGGCGCGCGCGCGCCCAGGGCCCTTCGGGCGGGACCCAGCGGATTTGAGGGGGTTGGCATGCGCCCTTCCAGCGATGCTGCTACGGCCCCGCAGGGGAGGGGTCGTGCCGCCCACTCAACCGTCGGCCTGGCTCACCAGTCTGGCCGCCCGCCGCGAGCAAGTTTTCTGGCCGCCTCGCCCGCCCCCGCGGGTTTTCGGCCCCCTCCAGGGTCGGAGCCGTCGGTTGTCGAAACCAGGCGGGGCGGGAGCTCTGTTCGTTTGGCAATCACCCACGAGCTGTCGCGCGCGGTGCCTCCCCCGCCTACTGTATCGGCGGACGCTGTGGATTCTGGCGGTTTGGAGGGGGTGGGTATGCGCTCCTCCAGCGATGCTGTTGCGGCCCCGCAGGGAGGGGTTCGTACCGCTCCCCAGCCGCCACCGCAGTTAACCAGCTTAGCACCCCGCCGCGAGTCGGTCCCAAGGCAGCTTTGCCCTCGCTTTCGGGACTCCAGCTCCCTTCAGGGTTGGAGCCGCCGTCACAGACGCGTGCCGAGCGCACAGGGCCACCGCGGAGCAGTCCAGAGCCGCCTCGCCGACTCGCGCCAGCTTCCGGCCCCCCCCTGGGTTGGAGTCGCCGTTACAGCCGCGTGCTTGGCGGATGGGCCCACCGCCTGGCTTTGATGCACGAACACCAGCACTGCCGGCGGCAGCACCAACGCCTGCGCTTACGCCGGCACCAGCGCCAGCGCCTCCTCCTGCGCCGAGGCCGGCACCGATGCCTGCACGAGCGCCAGCACGGACAGCGGCAGCACCGACGCGTGCGCTTACACCAGCACCAGCGCCAGCGCCGCACCGACGTCAGCATCAACGCCAGCACCTGGCGGCGTCAGCACCGACGCTTGCGCTTACGCCGGCACCAGCGCCAGCGCCTACGCCAGCACCGAGGCCAGCGCCGACGCCAGCCCTGACGCCAGCACAGACGGCGGCAGCACCGACGCCTGCGCTTCCGCCGGCACTAGCGCCAGCGATTACGCCAGGGGGCGCTTCGACAGTGTTGCCCTTCCACCCGCCACCTGGGTTTGAGGCGCTGTCGTGCCCTGCGGTCTGGCAGGTGGGGCCATTTCCCTGCCTCGCTAGCCTGGAGGCGGGCGCTCGGGTGCCGCCGCCGCACAACCGTTGCGCGACCGACGCCGCGGTTGGGTTTCCTTTTCCTGACAGCGGAAGTGGGCAGTCGGCGATCCCCTGCCTAGGGGCCTCACCCCTGCCTCCAAGGGAGCCGCTTGCGGTCAGTGCTTCCCGTGCGAGCGCCCACGCCATCTTGCACTCGCTCGGGCTACTCGGGAATCCAACCTCGGCGTCGACGGACCCCGCGTCCCTGCCAGTGTCGGCCCCCTTGTTCTCAGGCGCTACGCGACATGTTTCTGCTGCTGCTGCAGATGGTTTCGGGGTAGCTGGTACCTGCCTGCCGGGCGCCGCTGCTTCGGCGCCACAGAGCACGGGTCGCACCGATCCCTCAGCCCCCGCCGCAGCTCGCGATTTGGGCACGCCGCCGCAAAGCTGTCCTATGGCCACTTCGCCGTGTCTTCAAGGCTTCCTGCCCCCACCAGGGCTGGAGCCGCCGTCACGGCCGTGTGCCTCGCGTCGCTCTGGGGGCGCCCTCCGCGAGGCTAGAGGCGCTCCAGCCCTTCGCCGACGTGGCGGTTCGTCTGGGTTTTCAGCCATTCGGGATCGCGGCCACGTTGGCCAGGGCACCTGCGCCACCTCATCGCGTCCAGCTGCGCGCTGGGACCCCAGCTTCGGCGCTCGTCTCAGCGTGGGGGAAGGCTCGGTCGAACGCCCCTCCGCAGGCGCTCCCGCCTGCCCCTCCCGCGCGCGTCCCCCCGCCACTTGGGCGGGCCGACCCCGCTGCGGTCGCCGGCTCCGCCGAGGGGGTCGCAGGGGACACACTGGGGCTGCCTGCCGAGGCGCCCCAGAGGGCTCTCGATCTGGCTTTCATCTGCCAGCGGGAGGCGCTGCAGCGGTGCATGTTCATCGTCCAGCTGGTGGGGGGCCGCGGCTACCTCGGAACCGCATGGTTCCTCACGGGGATCAAGCCCCCCCCGTGTCGCGTGACCTGGTGCGGGTGGCGGCAGGCCCTTGCCGCGCCCGTTCCGCCGGCTCCCAGGCCGCCGGCGGAGCCGCCCTCCACGGCGGCGCATCCCACCACAGGGGTGGACGCACGCGAGCTGCGTGCACCGGCCGAGGGTTCACGCAGCGGCGAGTCGCTGTAAGCGACGACGCTGCTGCTGCCAGGCGTGCCTGGGCTGAGCGAGGCCGTGAGAGTAGGCACGCGCTCCTCCAGCGATGCTGTTGCGGCCCCGCAGGGAGGAGTTCGTGCCGCTGTCGCGACTCTCGCACTACCCCTGGCTCCCCTTCAGGGCCGAGTGGCCATTTTGGCAATTTTCACCGTGCTGCCGAAGCCCCTTCCGACGGGGACACAGGCGCACCGCCCGTCGCTTCCATCGGTTCTGTTGCCAGTGGGAACCCCCCTCGAGTCGACTTGTCCTCCGGGGTCACTACCGTGCCACCGGCCCCTCGAGTTGTCCTGTCCTCAGGGGCCGCTGCCAGTTCCGAAGCCTCTCGCGTTGACTTGTCCGCGGGGGATTCGAGGCCGTCTGCACCTACCGGCACCACGCCTTCCTTTCCCAAGGTCGCGCCCTTTGTCGCTGACCTTTCTGCCTTGCTGCGCCTGTTTCCTGGCGCGAACATCGATATCACCCATTGGGCTGCTGCTTTAGCTCAGGTTGGGATGGGTGCTCGTTGTTCTCTGTCGTCTTTCACCCGCACCTCCCTCAGCGCGTCGGCCCGGGACGGCTCGTACGTGTTGGAGCCGCCTCCCCGCGATCCTTGGCCGTGCCCTCCAGCGCCTTCTCTGCCGCCGCCTCCTGTAACCTTGACGGGTCGCGCGCGCGAGCGGTGGCGCTTGAGGCGCGCAGCGCGCACCTTAGCACAGCACGCCGTTGTTGCGCTAAACTGGCTCACCTTGGGCCATCCCAGCCTCGCTCCCATCGAGGCCCATGTGTGCACAGCGGCCACGCCCTGCCAGGAGGGTACTCGCGACCGCCTCGAGCGGTTGTGTCGGATCGCAGTTCGCCTTGCCCGCGGCGGCAAGAGCGACTTAGGTCGGGCTTTCTCCAAGTTCGACGCCACTGAAGTCTCGCTCCATGGCCTGGCCACCCATGTTGCAGCTATCGAGGCTTCCTTCACCTCCTCTTCCCAGGTGCCCGCCCCCATGCGGCAATGCCCGTCCAGCGCGCCTCCTGTGCCTGGATCGTTGGCTTCAGCGGCAGGCTGGGACTCCACCCAGTCTGAGCCCTTCGACCTCCGAGTCAGGGCGTCCCGCATCAAGTGGGATTATTCTCCGACGTTTGATCCCACTCCCTTCCTCGCCGACGCGCGGGTCCGCAAAGCTTTTCACGACCCCGAAACCATGCGTCTTCCGTCGGCCGAGTGGCCATCGGGCCTCCCGGGGGCCCGCGTCCACATGGACCGTGATCAGCTGTGGGAGCTTCTTCGGAAGTGGGACTCCTGCGGCGCCCTGTACTTGACTCCCACCTCAGACCTGGCTTGGGATGAGGCTTGCGGAGCGTTCAGGGTCCCCAAGGACAGCGAGTACG